ACAGCCAACATTACATAAATACAAACAAAAATAAGAGACCTATATGAGCAATATATGCCTATAAATTGGGGAATCTGGAAGATATAGACAGATTCCTAGAAAAATATAAACTACCAAAACTGAAACAGGAAGAAATAGAAAATTTGAACAGACCCATACCACTAAAGAAATTGAATTAGTAACCAAAAACCTCCCAGGGGCACCTGGGTGTTTCAGTCGGTTAAGCTTCTAACTTCAGCTTACAGTCTGTGAGTTCAAGCCCCACATTAAGCTCTGTGCTGACAGCTCAGCACCTGGAGACGACTTCAGATTCTGTCTCTCTGTCTGTCTCCTGCTCGTGCTCTGTCTCTCTCTGTCTCTAAAAATGAATAAACATTAAAAAAAAAAAAAACCTCCCAAAAAGCAAGAGTCCAGGTCCGGATGGCTTTCCAGGGGAATTCTACCAAACAGTTAAAGAGGAGTTAACACCTATTCTTTTGAAGCCATTCCAAAAATCGGAAATGGAAGGAAAACTTCCAAACTTATTCTATAAGGCCAGCATTATCTCGATTCCAAAGCCAGACGAAGACCCCACTAAAAAGGAGCACAAAAGACCAAGTTCCCTGATGAACATGGATGCAAAAGTTCTCAACCAGATGCTAGCCAATCGATTCCAACTTTGCACTAAAAGAATTAGTCACCACCATCAAGTGAATTTTATACCTGGGATGCAAGGCTGGTTCAATATCTGCAAATCAATCAATGTGATACATCACATTACTAAAAGAAAGGATAAGAACCACATGATCCTTTCAATAGATGAACAGAAAGCATTATAAAAAATACAGCATTCTTTCTTGATAAAATCCCTCAAGAAAGTAAGGATAGAAGGATCATACCTCATGATCATAAAAACCATGTAGTAGAGATCCACCACTAATATCATCCACAATGGGGAAAAACTGAGAGCTTTCCCACTATGGTCAGTAACACGACAGGGATGTTCACTCTCATTACTGCTATTAACCGTAGTATTGGAAGTCCTAGCCTAAGCAACCAGAAAACACAAAGAAATAGAAGGCATCCAAGTCAACCACGAGGAAGTCAAATTTTCACTCTTCACAGACCACATGATATTCTATATGGAAAACCCAAATATTTTACCAAAAATCTTTTAGAACTGATCAATGAATTCAGCAAAGTAGTAGTATATAAAATCAATGCACAGAAATCGGTTGCATTTCTATACACCAATAATGAAGCAACAGAAAGAGAAATCAAGGAATCGATCCCATTTACAATTGCACCAAGCACATAAAATACTTAGGAATAAACCTAATCAAAGAGGTGACAAATCTATACTTTGAAATCTACAGAAAACTTATGAAAGAAATTGCAGAAGACACAAAGAAATGTAAAAATATTCCATGTTCATGGAGTCGAAAGAAATTTATTGTTAAAGTGTCGATATTACCCAAAGCAATCTACATATTTTATGCAATCCCTATCAAAACAACACCAGCATTCTTCACAGCTAGAACAAACAATCCTAAAATTTGTATGGAACCGGAAAAGACCCTGAACAGCCAAAGCAATCCTGAAAAAGAAAATCAAAGATGGAGGCATCACAATCCCAAATATCAAATTGTATTACAAAGCTGCAATCATCAAAACAGAATGCTACTGGCACAAAAACAGAACGTATATCAATGGTATAGAATAGAGAACCCAGATGGACCCACAAACATATGGCCAACTCATCTTTGACAGAGCAGGGAAGAGTATCCAGTAGAATAAAAACAGACTCTTCAGCAAATGGTGTTGAGAAAACTGGACAGTGACGTGCAGAGAATGAATTTGGACAATTTTCTTACACCATACACAAAAATAAACTCAACATGGATGAAAGACCTAAACGGAAGATGAGAAGCCATCAAAATCCTCGAAGAGAAAACAGGGAAAACCCTTTTTGACCTCGGCCACTGCAACTTATTACTCAACACATCTCTGGAGGCAAGGGAATCAAAAGCAATAATGGACCATTGGCACCTCATCAAGATGAAAAGCTTCTGCACAGTGAAGGAAACAATCAGCAAAACTAAAACGCAACCGACAGAATGGGGGAAGATATTTGCAAATGACATATCAGATAAAAAGTTAGTATCCAAAATCTATAAAGAATTTATCAAACTCAACACCCAAAAAACAAATAATTCAATGAAGAAATGGCCAAAGATATGAACAGACACTTTTCAAAAGAAGACATCTGAATGACTAACAGATATATGAAAAAATGCTGAATTTCACTCATCATCAGGGAAGTACAAATCAAAATTTCAATGTGATACCACCTCACACCAGTCAGAATGGCTATTTGTAACAACTCAGGCAACAACAGATGTTGGTGAGGATGCAGAGAAAGGGGAAGTCTTTTACACTGCTGGTGGGAATGCAAACTGGTGCAGCCACTCTGGAAAACAGTATAGAGGCTCCTCAAAAATAATAATAGAGCTAATCTATGACCCAGCAATCGCACTACTAGGTATTTACCCAAAGGATACAGGTGTGCTGTTCCAAATGGACACATGCACCCCCAATATTTATAGCAGCACTACTGACAATAACCAAAGTATGAAAAGAGTCCAAGTTTTCATCAACAGATGAATGGATAAAGATGTGGTATATACATCTAATGGAGTAGTACTCAGCAATCAAAAAGAGAAATCTTGCCATTTGCAACAATGTGGATAGAACCAGAGGGTATTATGCTAAGCAAAATTAGTCAGAGAAAGACAAATATGATATGACTTCACTTATGTGGAATTTAAGATACACAACAGATGAACATAGAGAAAGGGAAGCAAAAATAATATAAAAACAGGGAGGGGGACAAAACATAAGAGACTCTTAAATAGAACAAACTAAGGGGTGTTGGAGGGGTTGTGGGTGGGGGGATAGCTAAATAGGCAAGGGGAATTGAGAGATGAGAACTGGGTGTTATATGTAGCAGATGAAAAACTGGATTCTACTTCTGAAATCATAATTGTACTATATGCTAACTAACTTGGATGTAAATTAAAAAATAAAAATAAAAAATAAAAAATTTTTTAATTAGAATCCAGGGGCACCTGGCTGGCTCAGTCAGTAGAGCATGTGACTCTTGGTCTCACGACCCCCATGTTGGAGGTAGAGATTACTTAAAAAATGAAAATAAAAATCAGGATACAAATAAGCAAACAAACAAAAAACCCAAAATAGTTAATGAGAACCTATTGTGTGCTTCTAACTGTGGGGGTAAATTGATGACAAATATAAGCCAGGTCCCTTTTCTCAAAAAAAAATACGCAGAAATGACAGATAATAAATAAGAACGCTAATAAAAAATCCACATAAAAATAAACACTATGAGGAAAGGCACCTGGGTAGCTCAGTAGGGTAAGCATCCAAGTCTTAATTTTGGCTCATGTCATGATCTCACAATTTGGTCATTTTCTGTCTGCCCCTCGTACACTTGTGCTCCCTCTCTCAAAATAATAAATAAATAAATAAATAAATAAATAAATAAATAAATAAAACATTAAACAATAAAATAAATACTATGAAGAATACAAAGGAAGATCATGAAATACTAGAGACTATCAGTGGACAACTGGGCACCCTTCCTGGGAGTATGGACAGGAAAAGCCTCTCTGGAAAGTAACATTTAAACAGAAATACTGACCAGAAACACTTGAAAGTCATTCTGACTGAAAAATGCAGCATGACGAGGAAAGCAAAAAGTTGAGGTCTGCGATAAAAGCCAGTCTCAGATCATTCATGTAGTGCATTATAAACCATAGCAAGACATTTGGATTTTAAGTGGCTAGTGATAGATTTTAAGTGACACAGGGAATGATTTGACCTGATCCAAATGTTATACAGATCTAAGTGGAGCACGGACTTAGGAGTATTCTAGGAGAAACATGATGACTCAGTCTAGGGATGTTGAGGTAGAAGTCAGAAAGGTTTGACATGGGATATATTTTGGGGAAAAAATACTGGCATGACTTACTGACAGACTGGACTGGCAGGTAAAGGAAAGAAGTGACTCATTTCCTAAGACAGGAAAAAAGAAGAATTGTGGCCTTTCATTCCACATCCCCATTGGTGTGAATCAGTCTATCCATATTTAGTAAACTTACTGGCGAACTGACAAGGAAGCAGGAAATCACTGTTTTCATGGTTTTCCCACCCAATTATATTCAGTGATCTTCAGTATAGGAAAGAGTAACATCTATTTCTAAATAAAATGGTTGGACGTTATTTAAAGTCCTGCAAAACATGAAATATATGGAAATCTTTGATATTTTTAGGTTTTAAGAAAATCATATTTTCCTTATTACATGTTACCTCCCTAAATGTCATTTATGTGCATTCAAAATGTTGAATTATACATCACTATAATAAAACATATTTAATGATGTTAAAACAACTTTTTAAAATTTTCACAAATTTATAAATTGAAGGAGTGACCTTATAAATCTTTACTTTTACATTATACATAATAATTGACATTTATTGATCAATCTTTTGATATCATATATCAACCACAATCAGAAATAGTAAAATAGTGTTAAAAATATAATTTTAAATCTTTAACACTTACTCCAGGAAATGTTTCCTGCTCTCTGTAACCAGAAGTGATGACGTCCACTTGTGACTTGACTGTTATTCATTTTTTAAGTAAAATTTGGCACATCACCTTGCATTAAAGAGTATAATAACTAAGACTATATTTAATGCATGTTATTATACTGTAGGGTGTCTTCAGGTAAGAACTAAGTAATAACCATCTGCTTCACCATTGGGAACACCATAGAAGGCATTTAGTAATAAGTCAAAAATGTATTGAACAAATTAATGAATGAATTCTGGAATTATTCAAACTGTAGCTATCTGTATTAATCAGTACATTTTTAGTTGATTTAATTCAGTTTTATGCACAAGCACAGATAGGCACAAATATTTTCAAAGAGTCGTACCTCCCAGAGTAGCAGACAGCAAGAAATGTGTCCCATATTTCTTGATAAGGTTTTCTGTGATTTGCTGCAAGGTAGGTCGGCGTCCCAAAAGTCTTATGTTGCGGAAGAATTCAGGAGCAAGAGGCAGAGGAGAGCCAAGGAAATTTCTCCTCTCGACTGCAAGGTTATTTACTTTCCAGCGGCCAAACTCTCTGAAAAGCAAATTTATTTTTATTCATAAATACACAATCTATCTGAATGTTTTCATTTGAAAAGTTCACTTAGTATTTTAGCTGGGGTCACCACATTACAATGAGTCTCGCCTGTAATAATATGTCATGTGCTATGAGTAGGAGAAGCAACATTTATAATTTATGTAACTAGAGTGAATATTCTGAAAACCAAATCACATAAAGCAAAAATAAGCCACTTAAAGGAAACAGCTTCCCCTGTTTTTTCCAAGGAAAGAAGTACTCATAAAAAATGATGTCATTACACATAGAATATGAATGTAGAGCCATTTAAAAAGCACTAAGGTAATATTTTATTATTTTCTAAGGGAAATTGAAAAAGAAGTGAATGAATTTATTTTCATAGCTCTAATGATTCCTTTCTTTATTCACTTTAGGTGGGACCCAGTAAAACTTTGAGAATATTATGGTGCTGTAGAAGAATGTAAAAACATGACCAAAAGAGAAAATTTTTTATAATAATTATTTTAAACCTAATTCAACTTGATTAGCAATTTCTCTAGATGCCAATGACATTTCAGGTGGATTCGGCCAAATTAAGGAAATGGAAAATATGGTTATAAATGATATATACATCTAAACAAAGATTTACACATTTATATTGAGTTAAATCAATCTAATAATACTTCAGAAAAGAACTATGGTGAACTGCATTGCCTGATAACTGTACAGAAGTTTTCTGAGTTGGTCTGATAAAAATCTCAAATACCTTCCACAGGAAAGAATTCCTTCTACCAGGTTTAACACTCCTAAGTGTGTTATTTAACACAATTAGTGTTTGGCAAATAAAGAACTGAGTAATATTGTATAAATATGTGACATATTTATTTATATTTTTCTTCCACCGAATGCCTATAGGGCATCAACGACCAGTGCATGATAAGGATACATCAGTAAACCAGACCAATACTGTCCATGTATTGGATACTCTATGTAACACTCCATGTAACACTCTGAGGAAGTTTGAAAACTAAATAAAACTGGGGCATCTGGGAGGCTCAGTCATTTAAGCGTCCAACTCTTGATTTAGTCTCAGGTCATGATCTCATAGTTTGTGAGTTCAAGCCCTGCACTGGGCTCCTCACTGACAGTGCGCAGTCTGCCTGGGATTCTCTCTGTCTTCCGCTCTCTCAGCCACTCCCCCTGCCCCTCCGGCCTCGCTGCTCCTTCTCTATCTCTCTCTCAAAATAAATAAAATTTTAAAAATATATAAATTAATTAATTAAACAAAAAGATTAAAAAATTTACACAAATGTCAGAGGATTTTAAGTGCTGCGAGCTACCACAGACAGCTTGTTGTGATTAGTCTTATAGCTGTAGACAGTGAGGCCCTATTTTATTTTAAGTGAGCAGAAAGGGCAACTTTGGAGAGGTGATATTTCATATTTAGGCAGTCTCTGAGGGGAGAAAAACTAGTTGCTAGAAGCGGGGAAGCAGGGAAGTGAGTCACACAGAATAGTGTGAAGAGTAAATGCTTGCAGGACAAAGAGGCATCTCCCTGACAGCATCTCTAACTATGAATATTTTGCTCATTTGACACACATTTGTCATCCAAACAATCCACCCAGTCTTTTTGGAGATTAATTATAGCATAAGAGTCACTAAGGAATCTAGGGAAGACTTCAGAGTTAGAATAAGTCAATTTAGTGTTTCTTTCCTTGAGAAACTCTTGCTGCCTCCTCTATAAACCAGCAACCTAAACAGCTTTGTTCTACCAGTGGTTCTCAAACTTCAGCACCTATTACAGTCATGTGGAAATGCCACTCCTGAGTTTTCTGACCTATTAAGTCTGAGGTGGGATCCAGAGATTGTGTTTTTAACAAGCAGCGCTAATGCTGCTACTCTGAAGAAAACTACTAGATAATTTGATATATTGTCCAGGATTCTCTCACAGTGTTCTGTTTTCAGTAAATATAGGATTTTTAGTGATACTATGCTGGATTTATTAATTCATGTTTCTGCAGAACAGAGTAAGAATGTACTTTTATTCCCCAAAACCTGGGTTGACATTAACCATTTTTTATGTCTTTTCTTTTTATAAAAAATTACCTAAATTGATTGTACATGTCTATTATACATACATATAATATTATATATTATAGATATACAATATATGTAGATATATATTCAATATATATTTTCAAAATTGCGAAGAGCATTTAAAATAAAATATTTAAGTTTGGGGGCAACTGGGTGGCTCAGTCGGTTAAGTATCTGACTCCTGATTTCGTCCCAGGTCATGCACGATCTCATGGTTCATGAGATCAAGCCCCCACTGGGCTCTGCACTGATAGTGGGGAGCCTACTTGGGATGCTCGCTCTTCCTCTCTCTCTGCCCCTTCCTCATTCGTTCTCTTTTTGTCTCTCGAAATATGTAAATCAACTTAAAAGGGTTAAAAATAAAATATTTACGTTTTAATGTTTTATGATATATCCCAAACTATATAATCATATAATACTTCTAAGAAGTTATTTATTAAACCAAGATCTAAATAATAGTTGTTCCATTCTGAACTTTACAGGCTTACCCTTGAACATGTACTTTTTTTTTTTGGTGAAAAATGTTTATGATCTTGTCAAGAGAGTGATATGAACCTAAAATATTGGCATATATTTTTTAATGGTTTAAAGTGCTAAATTTATAAACTCATATGCATGAATTCATAGACTAATATGTGAGAGGCTAAGTGAATTAATTGGACTTTAAATAACCAAGAAGATTGATTTAATTGTGATATTTTACATATCATATATACTCATTTTAAATCATTGATTATTTCATGCTAGATGACTGTGGGTCAGTCATCTGACTGAGATGCAATAGAATAAGAATGCAATTCTAATCTTTCTTATCGTTAACAACTAATGAATATACAAGCCAAGCCCCATGATCTATTTGACTTGATTTACTAATTTCTCCTGTTTGTTCCTTTTAAATTTGACATAAATATATAAATAAATAAAACATGAAATAGCTAAAACATATTTATGTCATTTTCTGAAATCAATTTCTATCACTAATTCAATAAGAAAAACTATTACTTGTCCATATTTATTATTACCAGAAATCTTGCTAGCCTTATAGATGAATGTAAAAACAAAACAAAACAAAACAAAACAAAACCTCTTACCTCAAAGGCTCAAAGATTATATTAAGCAAGATAAAATGGAAATGAATACATTTTAATCCAAAGACTTTAAAACATTTTATGTGCAAAAATACAAGTGTACAGCAGTTCATTTAGCATAATTCCTCTACCCAATTTGTCATTATTCTTCCATGTAAGTATTAGTAATCTAACTTACTTTGAATGTTTTGCTATTCCCCATATCATGTAAGGCTATACAGAGCCCAAGACGGTGAACAACTTTCTAGGGAACTTTCTTCAGCTATCAAGTGCTTTTTATTACCTCATTCTGTAAACATTGATAAAATTTATAATTTCAACTCACCTTCTAACATTTCAGTTGGACAAAACACTTTCCATCCCTTTGATTATTCTGTCACACAACAACCAAGAGTAAAGGACAAACTCTTTGGAGGTATCACCCAGCTAAGACTAATACTAACACAAATTAAACATGCCACTAACTAATCTAATCTAATCTACTTAATTACTTTAAAAACCCTGTTATTGTTAGTAATTATAGCAAATTATTTTCTTAACTCAAGAGCGCTATCTAAAATTTTCCTTCTACTTTTTCTTTTATATTTTATATAAATATAAAGTCATATATTATGCTTTCATTGTGTATATCCAAAAAGTGTCATTATGTGTGTGTGTGTATGTGTGTGTGTGTGTGTGTGTGTGTGTAAAAACACAAATGTTGATTCTAGATATGAGATCCCTCATTTCCACTCTCCATATTATTGGTTTGTATCATAATGATACACAATCACTGTTACAGTCTCTACAAGTTTTGGTGCAAACTCAGATAGAAAGTGCTGAAATAATCCTGAGAAGTGGGGATAAGAGCACTTTACGTAAAGGAAGTCCTCTATGGACAATTAAGTACCACACTGTGAGTAGTGAACGTTAGATATGAAAACAAACACTCAGTGTCTCTTTCTCTTGGGCACAAGATAAGATTGCGGGTACTGGAATCCTTTAAAATCAGTGTGGCCCAGCAAAGGAAACAACCCACAAAACTAATAGGCAACTGATGGAATGGGAAAAGATAGTTGCAAATGACATATCAGATAAAGGGCTAGTATCCAAAATCTATAGGGAACTCACCAAACTCCACACCTGAAAAACAAACAATCCAGTGAAGAAACGGGCAGAAGACATGAACAGACACTTCTCCAAAGAGGACATCCAGATGGCCAACAGACACATGAAACGATGCTCAGCATCCTTTCTCATCAGGGAAATACAAATCAAAACCACACTGAGATGCCACCTCATGCCAGCCAGAGTGGCTAAAATGAGCAAATCAGAGGACTCTAGATGCTGGCGAGGATGTGGAGAAATGGGCACCCTCCTACACTATTGGTGGGAATGCAAACTGGTGCAGCCCCTCTGGAAAACAGTATGGAGGTTCCTCAGGAAACTAACAATAGAACTCCCCTATGA